TGTATGTTCGGCCTGGGCAGTCAGGCCTGGGTGGGGGGGGGTCCCACCACAAAGCTGACCCAGTCCTGCTGAGTGAGCGGAGCAGCTCCTCTGAGGAGGAAGAGGATGGGGTGGGGAGAGGAGGAGCTGGGTGGCCAGCAGGTGCCAGCGAGTGTCTCCATGCGGTTGTTTGCCTCCCCAGTGGGCGGGCGTGCTGAGCAGGCTGGCCTTGGAGCAGGAGCGCATCCTGAACCCCGTGCTGGACCGCGTCCGCACTGCTGACCAGCACCAGCTACGCTCGCTGACAGGGCTCATCCGCAACCTGTCCCGCCACGCGCGCAACAAGGATGAGATGTGTGAGTACTGGGGAGCGCTGGGCAGGGGTGAGGGCCGGAGTCGGGGAGCCGGCTGGCCACCCTCCATCGGCTTTGCCAGTGTCCCCCAGTTCATCTGCAGGCCTATCCTCTCCCACGTGCCAGGGAGTCTTGGCAGAGACAGCAGAAGAGCAAGGTGGGGGGGTTGGAGAGGCCCCGACACTGTCCCATGGGTCCTTGGACGGACCTTTTCCTGTTGTCCACCCACCACACCCAGGAGGTCCGGGGGGGGATCTGTGGGGTCCGGCTGCCAGCCCTGACATGATACCTTTGCCTGCTAGCAACCAAGGTGGTCAGCCACTTGATTGAAAAGCTGCCGGGCAGCGTCGGGGACAAGTCACCGCCCGCTGACGTCATCATTAACATCATCGCCGTGCTCAACAACCTGGTGGTGGAGAGCCCCATGGCTGCCCGTGACATTGTCTACTTCGATGGCCTCAGGAAGCTCTTCTACATCAAGAAGAGAAGGGACAGGTGGGATCTCCTTGCCTGCCCTGCCAGCCTTCCCCCAGCCCTGCTGTCCCAGTTTGGACCTAATGAAGGTCCAGTCCTGCTCTCCACTTGTCCCTGAGGTCCCTGAGGTGGAAAGGCCATAACCAGTCCCCTTCCCCAAGGCTTGGTGTTGCGAGCCCCTCGATCACGCTAAACGTGGCCTCGTGGCCACCATCTGGCCCTTTGCCACCTCCTCAGGTCATCCCCACCACAGAGCTGTCTGTCGCTGCACCCGCCTTCTTCCCTCATGTATCTGAGTGCTTCTTGCCTGGGCCAGAAACACTTGTCACCTTGCCTGGCGTAGTGATCTCCAGCCTTTAGACTTCTGCTTCTTCCCAACAACACTAAGTCCTCATCCCCTGCGAGGTGGTGTCCTCTCCGACTGGCGGGCACCATCTCATGCCTGGTGGGCACCATCCCATTCCTTGGCGGTATCCAAAGGTCATTACGTGCTCTGTCTGTGCCCTAGCTCGGACAGCGAGAAGTCCTCCAGAGCAGCAGCCAGCCTCCTGGGCAACATGTGGCAATACGCCAAGCTCCACCGGGACTTCAAGATGGTATGTACCTCCCTGTGGTGCCTCCTCGGGCCGGCAGGCTCTGGGGTGGCACTGCTCAGCCCCTGCCGGGAGAGAGCCCAAGGGAATCAGGGCCGGGGGCTTGACCCTGGAAAGCCACCCAAGTGTTCCCAGGCAAACAACAGGCCCTGACTCCATGCCTTCGCCTCCTGAAAACGGGAGGGGATGTCCCCGGGGCATCGTCCCTGCGGTGGCACCCACTGCGGTCCAGAGGGCTGGGGAGAGCGTCCCGGAGCCCTGCCTTCCCTTGGCGACAGCCACACGCCCAGCCTGGGGACAGCTTGGGGACAGCCTGGCTCCGCGGGTCCCTCAGCAGCCCTGACGCCTCTGCGGCAGAGCAAGTTTCTGCCTGCAAGTCCGTGTCCCTCAGCGCCGTGAGGGCAGGGGTGTCCTCGAGCAGGAGACCCTGCCGTGTGACGGGTGGCCTGTTTTTCTTGCAGAAGGGGTACCGGAAGGAGGATTTCCTCAGCCTGTAAGGACAAGCCTTGGGAGAGGAGGAGACGGGACCGAACGACCCTGACTCACCCCACCAGGATGGGCCTTGCTGGCGTGCCCGTGGCCTGGGGAGGCTGCTCACTGCAGGACCCCAACTCCGTAGTCTAGTCCCCACTGCTCCTCACATCCCTTGTGCTTCCTGCCCCACGCCAGGCGACCCTTCCCCGTGCGGGGGAGAGGCAGGGGTCAACCTTGTCTTCCTTCCTCCCTTAAACGCAACGGCTGCCTCGGGCCTCGCTGGGGCCTCTTGCTGGGCCTCCGCTTAGCGGGGAGCAGC